GCTCTCACTATCGCGATCATGACTGCGCTTAATCCTCATCTAAATCAAAAGGTTGTTCAGGTAGTTAAAACTTAGAGTTGAATTGCTTGCCTTCTCCCTACTGCTGAAATCGCAGCGTTCTTCATTGCAACTGCGCTTAATCCTCATCTAAATCAAAAGGATGTTTAGGTAGTTAAAAGTTAGAGTTGAATTGCTTGCCTTCTCCCCGCTGCTGCGATCGCAGCGTTCTTCATTGCTGTCATCACATGGGTCTCGATCATGGTCTTTGCCATCTCTGTCATCCCTATCCTCTCGTCGATGTCCTTCAAAGTCATCGGTTACAGCCAGAAAGCCAACGAATTGCTTCTGAAAGCACCAGTTAAGAGAAACAAATCTTAATAAACTGCGTTAACAAACGTTTTGAAGATTTTTGTCCCTCCGTGCGGCATGTTGGCAGCAAACATTGCAGGAATCCTCATCATAATTAGCAATCACGGAGCATCTATAGGGTAAATTGAATGAAGTAAAATAATCCTCACAAATCACAAGTTTGTATCGACTTTACCTGACTCTGTACGCACGGTTAAGGTGACGGTCGTGGTGGTCACGATGTCCGTGACGTTTTGAATGTGCAACGAGCAATACGGAAGCGTCCAAGTCACACACGTCGCCTAAACCAAGTTGAAGATATTAAGGCTTTGAAGGACAGCTTAAAAACTTACGGTCCACCAGAGGGGGCGGCGGTAGTCGGAAGTATTGGTAGCCGGCGTAAGCTCCATAGTTCGATGTTGGAGGTGGTGGCGCGTAGCTGAGAGGTTCGCTGTAGTCATAGTGCGTTCCATAGCTACCTGCGGCAGTAGCGTTTTTCACCTGAAATAAGTTTTTACACAAATTCTTAAGGAAATAACATTCAATAGATTAAATTCAACAAGTTACACTGCAAGTTGAAAAAAAAACCCACGTTTGCTTCTTCCTCAGCGAGGCAGGTGACGATGCAGAGAGCCCCTAACAGGAGAAGCCGTAACATAATGAATCTAGCCTAGGTTGCTCATCGCCCTAGCACTTTTATACCAAGCGGGAAGATCTTTGGTACATTTGGAATGAAGTGAATCACATGGGAGATCTGATAAATGCCTTGTTGTAAGAAAGCCTTATGCTTACAATGGGGATGCATTTGCTGTGCCACAAACAATTCAGAAAATGTAAATTACAGGTTTGTGAATTTGCTTTATCTAGCTCCTTCTTTACTTTTTTTTAAAGTTTCATATTACTTCAGTGAACAATTAATTGTAAAGGAAAAAACGGCGAAGAAAAGAATGCGTTGTTTTCAGAGTTTACTATCTACGAAAAAGATCTTACTGAATATGTTTTCACATGCAAACTCTGCAGCCATTCCCTGATACAAGGGCATAAAACGGGGAAAAAATTGAGAATCCGCAAGGGGTCGTTTAGCGCTTAAAGCAATACCTAACGTGTAGTGTGATACAAAACATATGC